CGTTTTCCATCCATTTCTTTGGATCCATCAGATTCTGTGCTGGTTGAATAGTCACATTCAGGGGACTCCAATTCTGATAAAAGTTGTGTGTCAGGTGGGTGTGTCAGGTGGTGTAGGGGAGGTCAATTTGGACTTCAGGTCCCTCTAGCTCCATCTTTGATGGGTCAATGCTATCCCTTTTACCCATTATGTCATCCATTTGGTCAAAATATGGGAAATCGGCTTTGATCTTTTTTTAAGCCTGTACTCCATGATTTCTGTTTCAAGGTTTCTCTAAATTTTTGGATTCGCTTTTTGAGTTGAGGCAATGATCTTGTTTTCGAGTCCCACATTTGTTTATACCTTGAATAAATTTCATTCCATATTTCCGTCTTCTCCTTGTTGGATGCACTCTTTAGCTTACTGTACCTTGCACCCCAAGCTTCAATTAACTCCATTGTTTCTGGTTCYGTCCAKTCTGCAGCCTTAGTTTTCTTGCTAGTTGTTTTTTTCTGGTTGTTCACAGTCTGTTGTTGTCTGTTGCTTGAGTTTCAAACGTCAGCATTGGCTGACTGTGGTGGCACTGAGCTTAAAGGGATATTTGGAGCACTATTTCTGATATAGAATACAAATGCAGTTCACTACGATAACAAAGACAGTCGGAAATAACAACCTGATCAAACGAGAGCACTTCATCTGTTGCAAATTCCGTAGGATTAAATTTAACTTACATTTGATTTGCATAGCTTTGATTCGCATAGCCTTGAGAATTAAACAATGGGTTTTGACGATCCATAGCTTCAGTGAAGTCTCGATTTCTTYGATCGCGAATGTCACAGACAATTGAACCAATTGCCACTTGTATAGCTTTATCACACATGTTATACGTTGTGTTTTTAGAAAAATAGCAGTAAACTAGGACTATTTTGCATGGAAATTTTAGCTCGTAATAACGGTTTAAAACTGAAAGTGTTAGACCAAACAATAGACATACGCCAGCTCTGATTGGCCATTTATACTACTTTAATCATCGAACTATAACTAATAAGTYGGCTTTTCCTTAGTCTGTGTTTTCTGCATTTGYGATTCTTTCAATTCGTTATCTATCCTGTTGTTAAGAAATTTGTGTAATCACTACCCATASGCAGTGGCTTTTGTCCGCATTGTTTTTTTGCCTTTTGTAGTAAATACTTCGCTATCCCAGCATTATCACATTCAAGTTGCGCACTTATCATTGATCCTTTTGTTTAGAATTAACGAAATTTGTGTTATCACTACCCATACGCAGTGGCTTTTGTCCGCATTGTTTTTTTGCCTTTTGTAGTATACTTTGCTATCCCAGCATTATCACATTCAAGTTGCGCACTTATCATTGATCCTTTTGTTTAGAATTAACGAAATTTGTGTTATCACTCTCTCTATACAAAGCGGCTCATTAAGGATTTTGTCCGTATTGTTTTCTGCCTTTGAGATCGGCCTTACCAGTGATTTCTTTTGTTTAGTTATTAAGCTAATTTGTGTTATCACTTTGCT